CAACGCCAGCGTGTCCTCGTCATCACTGACCCACCTCTAGCCACCTAGATCTCGATCTTGGTCAGGTAGCTTTTTAGGGTATGCTTCTTTACCGATATATTGGTATTTGATTTTTTTTTTCTTTTTGTTAATCAAAGATAATTTTATAAAAATTAGTACGGCTAATTTAGTCAGTGAAATTTTGAGTTTGTATTAAAATAAGCTTATAAGTTAGTTGAAAATAAAAATATTTCAGCAAGAATTATTTGAAAACTATCTAAATAAATTTATGAGATAAACTCAATTTTATTTATAAAAAAAAAAAAACTTTGTTCGTTCAAATCAAACTTATTTGTATACAAAAATCTTATAAGCTAATAAATGGGTCGAGAAAATATGTAAAGGGATTCCGTTTCTTTTGTGAATATAAATGGATTTTGCAACTTGCAAAAATTTCAAAAAGGCCACTATATAATAAATAGAAATAAACATTGCAAGTGCAGCAATTTCAATCCTTAACCTAATCAGATTTGCACAATTAATGTACGTGATAATTACACCACACACTACCTACCTGCAGGCTACAGTGATATATATATATGCATTGTGAACTAACCAATAACCATTTAAATACACAAGTAAATGGTACGTACTTACATAAAATATTATATATTTCAATATTGCTACAAAATCTATCTAAAGGCTACTACAAATCTCTGTATCCATGACATTGTTTTTAAAAGCTTTTGAAATAAGAAATTGGAAAATAAATCTCAAGTAGTAACAATATATTTTTTTTTTCACAATTAAAAATATAAAATAAAATAAATATACAGTGTCTAGAGTTGTCATAGTAGAATAATAAAAAATAATGTGAAGATTGAATTTTCAGTATGAGAATGAGTTAATACTTGAAACTTATAAGACAACATAAGAAAATAGTTGATTACTCCCTATATTTCTTTACACATGTCCTTTTAATTTATAACTTTCAAATTGCGATTTTCAATGGGTTTTGTAATCATTTCAGAGTAATTCTCTTAAATTTAGTGTTCGAATTATTATAAATATGTACCGTCTCCATTTCCATTTCGATAAGTATAAAAAATTCAGGCGGTGACTTCAATTTCATCCTCCGTTTTCACCGAAAACTTTCGTCTACCTTCATTTTATGATACACTCCAAATTTCAAAATTCGAGAACTTTTTTCATTACGGAAATGAAGTTGTAAGAAAAATTAGTTTAGTATCAATTTTACGGCTCCATTTTCGTAAGTGAAAGACTTAGAGAAATTTTCAAAACCATTTTAAATTTCAAGCAATTAATAGTTTAAATAATTAAAATTATTAGATTCGCAAAACACTTTATCTTTGATGAATGTTAAGATTATTCAAACGAAACCTGATCATGCCGCTTGCATGCTTTAACTCTATAAGGCTCGTCGAAGACAAGTAAAAAAAATTGGAACTCGATTTCGAGTCTGGATAAACTCGTACGAGCCCGCGGCGCAAGAATGCACAGTGGTTGTGGTCAGCGAAAGGTCGCGACCCATGGTGACCATAAGGTGTCTTTTGGCCTCTAGGATCACAGTTTTAGTTTCGGAACGTCCCAAAAGGTATCTTTTGACACTTAAACCTCCTGAAGTTAGTTTCTTCCATCTATAATTAATACCAAAATACATGAAACCATTCACAACTTGAAAAATTAAGATCTTGCATTACATTTTTAAAGTTCATAAAACATATTGTGTTCTTCGGTTTTATCGTGGAGTCTTGAGAGTTCCAAACAATAGTATTGTTCGTCGAAGGCTTGTATATTTGAAATACCACTATATACAAGTCGAAAGTCGTATCTTGGAGACGTATGTCGTTAACCGTGTGTATTTTACGGGATAATTTCGTTTTAAGAAGAACGTAATTATTATATGCCAAAAGACACCTTATACTCACCAAGGGTTGCAACCTTTCGGTGTCCGCAGCCAGCTGCGCGCCTGTGCGACAAGTGCTCGTATGAGCTCATACAAACTCATAATCGAGTAGTTTAGTTTTTCTTTGTCCCCAACGAACTCTTCTAGAGTTATAACATTCAAACTGCATGATCAGGCCTCGTTGGATTATCGTAGCATTCGTCAAAGGCAGATTGTTTTACGAATCCAATAATTTGAGCTACTTAAACTCATTGCTTCAACTTTACATTTCCCACATATACAACTTAAAATTAATTTCACATTCACCTTAAAATATGTTTGCATATTTTAAGTATTCCACTTACAAAAAATAGATTCGGAACAAAACCATTTTTTCTTACAAAATATTTCATTTTTGGCTACAGGTAATTTTGTGTTTGTGCAAGATTGATGGAGTTTATAGAGTGACATATACAAGAATGATTAATGCTCCTCTACCCAGCTCCATTACACACGGTGGACACATTTTAATATGTCCACCGCTTATGTGGCATGCACACATTGGAACATATTAGCATCACCAATGTGTGCATGCCACATAAACAATGGACATATTAATATGTGCCCACCGTGAGTAAGTGAACATTATTGATACAAACATGTGGGTAGTGAACATTATTGATACAAACATATGATGCAAGGTTGGTACATTTATGAAGATTTTGCGTGTATTAATTGTGTGAATACCATTTTCGGAAGATTGATGGCATAAACATTTCATGCGATTGGAGTCTCGTTTTGTCTTTCCTAATTTGAAAAGGAAATGCAATCAATGGGATATATATAGAAAAAATACACATTGATCGTAAAAAAAATATATACGAACTAAATTAGAAAAGAAAATGTACAGCCTGTACTGTTTTATTTTATTATTTTATCATTATTATCATTATTTTGTCTTTTTTTTTTTTTTTTTCAAATAAAACACAGTACAATTAGCGTAGACAGTTAGTTATACGGAAAAAGCTGGGAAACAGCGAAACAAATCTCGGCAAGCTTGATGAAGATTTCATTCCTCGGAGTTATCGGCGACCGCCCGTGGAACCCACTCTCGCAGGCGCGCGCGTTGCTCTCGGCCTCCAGCGACAGCTTGTCGAAATCGTAGAACGTGTCGTCGTTCAGGTCGCCCAGAACCTCCGACACGGCGCGGATCGCTTCGTCGTAGCGGCGGAGGCAGCTTCTCAGGCCACGCGCCACGCCGGAATCTCCTCCTCCGCCGCCGGCTACCGACTTCACCCGCGCGGCGATGTGGTCCCTGGTGTCCGTCGCGTTCAGGTACGCCTTGGTGAAGATTATGACGGCGAGCAGCGCCCGGTCGGCGGTGGGGGCGTGAGGGTCGGAGTAGATCGACCGCCGGCAGAAATCGAAGTCGGTGGTGTTCCGACAGACCTGGGTAGCCAACGGGTTTTCCTGCGCGGCGGCGGAGGCAATTGGCGGGAAAGGTAGGGAAATGCGGAGGAGAAGGGTTAGACTTAGGGCGATTGCGAGCGGGAATTTGCGAAATGCGTCCGCCATTTTTTTTTTTTTTTTTTTTTTTT